GTATTTTAGATATCTTGCTTTGACCAAAATCACCATGCTTTGGTCCTCCCATAAAAACAATGTATGGTATATGAGGCTTGGATGATATGTAAAATTTAATATCTCAGGACACAGTCCAGGCCATGATATACGATATTAAAGCAGTTTATGGTATAATTATATTCTTGAATGTATTTTTCAGTTGTTCGTTATTAAATAATACATAATTCTATCATTTGGTTTTATGTTTCAGGTATAAGTTACGGAAGAGGAAACTCAGAATTCCAACGTTTTTCTCAGAACTCTGAGATTAAAGTCAGAGTTCAAAAGAAAAAAAAAATTCACATATGGCCCTAACTCTCTTCCGTAATAAGTGATGTTGCCACTAAACAGCAGTTCAAAGTTGTGTTTGTCAGATGCCAAGATACAATGCACAGTAAGCAAAGCAGTGAAATGAGGGTTGACTATCAGCCTGTGAAAAATTGCAAAAAAAAGTATATAGATATTATGGAAAATATAGCATAGGGCGAGAAATATTACGAGATTTCATATTACTGATATAATCGGCCCAGGCCTGTGGTATACATGGGCTAAGTATTGTGCTGTGTGTGTGTGTGTGTGTGTGCTGTGCTGTGTGTTGTGCTGTGTGTGTGTGTGTGTGTCTGTGTGTGTGTGTGTGTGTGTGTCTGTGTGTGTGTGGTGCGTGTTTGGTTGGGTGCAGGCTGCATGTTTCCAGAACGGTCTGGGAGAACGAGGCCAGAGAGCATCAGACAATAGGTGTGGTGTCACACGCTCTCTTTCCACAGGCGTATGGAAGGCTGAGTGTGTGGCACAGAGCCACAGCCCCACTGTTTATATGAGCGCATCAATAGCAGAGGAGATGGTGTGACCGGACTTCTGTTGTTATCACTGGGCAGGACTGCACCACTGTTTGGATCAGGTAGGGAAAACACTGATGGACTTCTGGATGAACTAGCTGAAGTTTGAGCGGAGCTGATGAAAGTCTTTTAATAAGGCTGGAGATTACAGAAGAGACAGGACAGTGGGGTGAGACAGGGAGAAATGTGTCGACTACCACTGCCCTGTCTGAACTGGAACTCTGACAGAGACATGGAGCCCTGTCAAGGTTGGTGTTTGGTTTTATTAGAGTTTAGGAGTGTAACAGTAAAACTCCACTCCTTCATTTTGGATTCATGGTTCAGTAGGTATTTGATACAGCAGGGAAAGCGAGAGAGATGCAGATGATGACATTTATTTTGAAAATGTAAGTCTAGTCAATTTTTATTTGTATAGCGCCAATTCACAACACAAGTTATATCAAGGCACCTTTAAATCAGAGCAGGTCTGGACCTTCTCTTTATAATATTATTTACAGAGACCCAACAATTCCCACCAGGAGCAGCACTAGGCGACAGTGGCAAGGAAAGACTTCCTTTTAAGAGGCAGAAACCTCGAGCAGAACCGGACTCAGGGTGGGGGCGGCCATCCGCCTCGACTGGTTGGTAAACATTAAATGAAGGCTCTTAATTCTTTTAAATTAATTATCATGTTGCTCAAACATTGGCTAATTGTAGATAACTAAAAAAAAAAAATATACAGTGTGAGGCCATGACATTCTTAACATACTCTAAGTTGAGACCTCTGCTCTGTGGGTGTATGCACAAATTGTCCATAACAATTAAGCCCATGGGAGCGTATACGCTTCCAAATGTCACGTTGTCTGTAGAGCGTCATAACTGTGATGGTTTCAGCTAGAGATATGCTGTACTGCTTTCTCTTTGTGTGTGTATAGATTGATTCTCGTCCGCCATCTTTGCTTGTGACGTCTAGAGTCACGTCACTCAAGTCGTTGCTTGCATACCCAAACTAAGTGGGAGCAATGCTTTTTTTTATCCTGAGGTCAAAGTGAGGAGAAGTTGTTTTGAGTTTATTGTAGTGACAGTCAGATATTTAGAGCAGCGGAGGCTTTGGAGCAGATGGACTCATCTACAGCAGGCACACAGGAAGGCTGCTGTAAAGGAAGAAATGTGACGGGTCTTTGTTCCTACTTGCATTTTTGTTCTTTTGGTCTTTTGTAGTTTGCCACTTGTCTGATCATTGATGTATTTTTGAAGGAGGTGTAAAGGGAAGTGATTGGGTCGGGACCACAGACCAACAAGCTAATCATCAAAGAGCTGTGTGCAGATGTTAATTGATAATTGTAGAGGTTTGTGGAGCTCAGCTCACGAACAATGCAGCAGTCCCCTGTTAGAGTTAGATATTCCCACTTTGTTAGTGCACTCTTAAATTCAAAACCACATTGAGTTTGTTGCTGACTTGATGGAGGTTTATCTGCTGTCGTCACCATAGATACTAATGTAACCACAGACAGCACCTTGTTGTTTTTCATTGTTTCCATGAATTAATTTGAATCCGATCCATGTGCATGAGCAAGTAAAGAACGTGTCTCGGCTTGTTTTGTATTTTCACTTTACTGTAACTTGGATCTCTTTGGAAAACTGTGACTTCACATGGTCAAATAAATGTGTGAGATGATACATTCTGGGTTTATACCAATTTATGTGCAGGAAATTGTGTACGCATATTTTTGTGCGTACGCATCATTTATGCATCTTGCCCCTGGAGTCTCAGACTGAGACCTCAGGGTTATCGCTTATGATCTAGACTTTCTCATAGAGACAGCGATCTGCTGTGACAACAACAACCCATGATGATTTATCAGGAAATTAAAGAGGAAGGTGCCTGTGTGGGATGGACCCAGTGTGACCCAACTTTTCCACTTGGTCTGTTTGTCCACTCGACACCTCTGGCCGGCTCTGTGTCTCTCCCTGAAAACTGTTTACTTCCTTTATCTCTCACTCCCCTTCAGCTCCTCTGTCTGTGTGAGGACTTAAACTAGGTTAAGTCAACACACACACACACACACACACACACACACACACACACATTGATTTTTAAGGTTGGAAGTAAGAACTAATTACTTTAGCTCCTGCTGCTGTTTTGTTTCTGAGTATGTTGAACACTTTTGCTTTAGGTTAAAAGTAAAATGAAAGTGTTTCTGAGGTGAAAGTTGTACAATCAGTTTACTTCTACTATAATGAATATTGCTAAACACTCTTTCCATCCCTGGTGATTCAGTTCAGCTCCAGCAGAACTGACCTTTTCTGTGCTGCCCTCAGGACTATCTCCCTTTGTTAAATTTCCTGTCAGGAGAGGCAGTTGCATCTGACTTCCTGTAGGATTGTGACATTTCCTGTCATGTGGGAGGGGGGTGTTTGGCAGTCATCTTGTAAAGGCTTTTCAGCTGTTTGAAGAAACAGGATACAGGACACTGATAGGCCACAGTAGGAAAACACTGCTTTAGCTGACTTAAAAAACAATAACAAAACGCCGCTGCAGGCCATAGACACAGATGTTGGTGAAAGGCCAGAGAATGAAAAATGGATTAACCCACAGAGACAGTTTAAGTCAAAGTACTACAGTGATTTAAACTGAAGCAAAATGTTGCTGCCTGCGTGTTTGAGTTTAAACTTGTCCTGTATAAAGAACTGATTCACATCAAGGGTTAGAAGCAAAGGGCAGTTTGTCAGATACTATCACCACACACACAGCTTGCAGTGTATTAGTCACATCTACAGATGGGAATCAAAGGAAACACCAACATAAAATGTCTGTGTTGTTCCACCACCTTCCTCCCGAACAGTAAGTCAGCAAGTCTCTGACTCTACTGGAGGATGAACTCCAGTCGTTCTAAACATATTAACTCACTTGGTGTTTAGATGATGGTGCTGGTGGAGAGTGCTGTCTGACACGTCACCATCTGGTGACTGTGACATCCACAGGGCAGTATTCACATCATTCAGTGAGCCCTCATGTCCTGTGGATGGGGGCCTTATCATTCTGTTTCTACTCATTGTTACCCAAACTGTGGGTTATGGTGTAAGAGAATATGCTGGACCCTGAGATGGTGCCTGCAGTTTAAAAAGTAGCTTGTCCAGAAAAGCCTAAAGTCTTCTCACTGACTCACTGAAGTACAGCAACATACTGTACACTCATATTGAAACTCAGATGGGGGGGGGGGGGGCTTTTCCCTCTTTGT